CCGAATAGCCACCACCTCCGCTTAGGTCCTTAGGGCCAGAGGAGTGGGTAGAAGCAGCAGAGAGGATCTGGAAGCCAGGATACTAGAGTAGGCAGCTTTGGGGCCTGTTTCCCCCTTTGTCAAGAGTAGGGGGCAGGGTTTCTGCCAGGTCATTTCCTCTTCTACCCTAGTAGGATTGCACCGGATAGCAGTGAAGAGCTAAGGGAGGGCATGGAGGGCTGGGCTGGCCCCCAGGGCCCCTAGCACTCCAGGTGACAAAAGTCCCTGCTCTTCTGTGATAGACACTGGAGAGGGAGGTGGCAGATATCCATTCATTCAACAAACCAGCACCGGGGAACAAGTGATGTATGGGACATACAGCAGTCCTCCTTAGCCACAGGGGATACATTCCAAGACCCCCAGCGGATGCCTGAAACCACGGATAGTACCGAACCCTATATACACTGTTTTTTCCAATACATACCTATTATAAAGTTTCATTCATAAATTAGGCACAGTGAGAGATTAACAACTAATAAACTAGGACAATTATAAAATGTACTATAATAAAGTTACGTGAATGTGGCATTAGTAATGAAAATAAGGGTCACTTGAACACAAGTACTGTGATACTGTGACAGTGGATCTGATAACGGAGACAGCTACTAAGTGACTAACGGGCAGAGAGCACATGCAGCGTGGATGCCGTGCACAAAGTGATGATTCACGTCCGGCTGGACGGAGTGAGATGATTTGAGATTTCAGAGCAGTGTGCAATTTAAAACTTAAGAATTGTTTATTTCTGGAATTTTCTATTTAATATTTTTAGACTGTAGTGTTCCATGGATAACTGAAACTGCAGAAAGCAAAACCACAGATAAGGGGGGACTGCTGTGTTTATCCCTATCTAGTAAGATTCAGAGTCTAAGGGACAGGCAGTTATGGGGAGCATGGCGGGGCCAGGAGAGCTGATGGTGAGGGCCTGAATCCAGGGGCATCCCCATCTCCTCTCAGCTGGAGCCCCTGCCTCAGGCCTAGGCAAGACTGAGGACTGCCCCAGAGGCAGGGGACCTGCACCCCCCACCCAGCCAGTCTCTCCCAGGAGAACCAAGTGTACATTCGTTCCACAAATGTTCACTGAAGAGCTGCTGAGCCCGGCACCGTGCCTAATGAACAAAAACCGGGGATGAGCAAAAACAGACCTTGTCCCTGTCGTCATGTGGTTGACAGACTCATCAAACGGTCCCACAGACACAGGGCAACATGACAGCTGGGAGCAGTAAAGCAGAGGTGCTTTGGAGCATGACAGGCAGGCAGGGAAGGCCCCTCTGAGGAAGGGAGGGTTTGACCTATAACTGGGAGGTAGACCCCACCAGCGTTCCAAAAGGAAGTAAAGCTTGAGCAAAGGCCCTGTGGCAGCAGAGAAAGGAGTTCAGTGAGAGACTACCAAAGGGTTATGTGGCTGGAGGGAGACCAGGCAGGGAATGAAGAGGCAGAACCCAACCAGGTATAAAGGGTTTGCCCCTCGGGGGCCACAGGGAAGCTTAGCCTGATCCTAGGTACCATGGAAAAGGCGGAAAGGCTTTAAGTAGAAGGGAGCAGGATCTGAGGTGGGCAGGGGTGGGCAGGGTGCGCTTGGGAAGGCCCGGATTAGAGTCCAGGCTAGAGATGGTGGTGGCTTATACCACCGTAAGGGCAGGGGACAGACTCAGAAGGTATTCTGGAGGCAGAATTAGTGTCTGGGAGCTGCACTGGATGCAGGGGCAGGTGTCAGGAGAAGCCAGAGTAATGGAAGGATGGTGGGACCAACACCCCAAATGGGAACACCTTCCAGGCCAGGTCTGGGGGAGGGAGGGGTCCTAAATTTGGACTCAGATCCTTGTGGAATCTGATATGCCTTGGGGGACATTCGTGGGGCCAGGCCTAGTAGGCTGGGGCAGGTGGGTGGAAAGAAATGCTGATATCACACCCCAGAGGCAATGAAGAAGATCCAGAAGGCAGAGCCCGAGAGGCAGGAGGAAAATCAGGCCTGGGAGGGTGTCCTCGAAGCTGGGAGAAGCCAGAGGGGAGCAGAAGGCTTGCTTCCAGCCGAGTGGCTCGGGGTGACTCACTTTTAGGAGCCTTGGTTTCCTCCTCTGTAAAATGGGCTACCACGCTCAGCTTGCCCCTGACTGCGGCCCCGGCGTCGGGGGAGATTCGGAGGAAGCGTCCTGCCCGGCGCAGTGTGGAACGGACGTGAGGATGGCGCCGCGGGCGCCTCCCCCTCCCCAGGTCCCCCCCAAGAAGCGGGCTGAGGACCCGAGGGCGCGGCGGCCCGGGCGGCGGCTCTCGCGTTAGGACCCAGCGGATCCGGGGCTGGAAGGCGGACGCC